AGGCGAAGTCTCGGGAAACAGCTAAAACATGCTCCCTAGCAGCTTGTTTGGTCGTAAGATTATTAGGATACGACATTTTGACCAATGTAGACACACGTCTGTCACAGACCGACGAAACTGTGCAACTACAAATTTTTACAGATTCACGTGTCGTCACGTGACTGTCATACTTTTCGAATAACAGTACAGAGGACTCTGGGGACAAAACAATCAATAGGCCGTTCGTTTGTGTTCGCTCTACCTACTCCTGCTAAACTTGATTTTTTTTATGACTTTCTCTGTTTACATCATGCCATAAACAGAAATAACCGTGGAAACGAAATCGACCTTTCCAAGTGCAGCAACACAAACGAACAGTTATAGATCTGAAGTTAATGAAAGCATGTTCATTTGAATAGTTCAAGTCAACATGAAAATCTACTGAAAAAACGTCATTGAAATAGCGAATAGTGAGCGATTATCATTATCGGCCTCAACAGTAAATGTCTAATGTCTAATGTCTCCACATTTTTCAGCAAATTCGGTTGTTATAACAACCGAATCCATTATTTGCGTATCGGCCATGTGTCGTTAAAAATTTTTCGTAATCCTAGTGAGAGATTACATTTTGATTCCGTAACTTGCCGTAACCTCGTAAATTCTACAGAAAAATCCCAACATCGAGTGACGGCCGACGAGAGCCTAAAGTTTTCGAACCATTCCCAGACCTCATCATCAGAACGAGCGTCTCGGAACAGGAACGACCTAGGGATGTCGGCCAGTGTCGGCTTTCAATGTTATGAAACTCTGAATTTGAAACTTATGAAACGGCGACTTCGACCACAACAACAGTAGTACTTTTATTTACTTTTCTAAAAAAAAACAAGAGTGTAAACGTGAGTTCATAAAAAAAATTGTAAGTGAACATCAAAAGAGGTCACACGCCAAAGTAAGGAACATAAAAAAATGTGCATTAATACAAATTAAATGTGGTACTTCAATGTTCAGCAAACTTTTCTGATAGGTAACAAAAATAAATTCGCTCTTATGAGATAATTCCACAAAAATTATATTTTTTTTGAATGTGGAAATTGTCAGAAGAAGTTTGTTATGGAGTCTTCATTAAACAGACATATATTATATAGAATTTCACATTATCAAACTGATGAATATATATATATAACTATACGAAGAAATCCAATAAGAAATCTGGAGTACCTTACCCTCAAGAATCATGTGCCAGGAATTATACTGAACATTTTATTGTTTCATTATTCTTTATTAAAGTGACATATTTTTATACAGGGTGGCCCATCGAAAACTTGACATCGGGGTTTTGGGTGATATAAGATATAATATCGCAGATGTGGAAAAACCCTCGGACAGGTCGATTTTAGTTTTGAGGGGGACATTTTTTTCTCCTACATGCACTATAACGTCGCTGCAACACTCGAGCTGTGGGGTGAACAACCCCTAAAATTTGAATAGGGAATAATGGTGGAGTGTCACATCTTTTGAAAATCCGTTAAGTTCTCTATCCAACGGCGTCCCAATTTTGAAGTTGGGATGAACCGTTTGGGAAAAAATAAATTCAGGAATAAACCTGTACGATATATAGTTGAGAGCTTACTTGTACTTCTCTGAAACACTCATTTGCAAGTTTTTGCAATCTTGCATTTATTTGCAATGATACTGTGAAAGTTGTTGCTCAGTTTTTCTCGCGGTACCCATAAAAATATTGTAATAAAATAGAACAAACAGATAGAACATGCAGTTTCTGTTTTTCACGTGTGTTCCAAAAAGTTTT